AGTGTATGGTCATTTTTTCTTATGTGCATTTTTTTATTTATAAAATGCAAGATGGGTGATAGATGTGGAAGTTCTTTTAAAAATACATATATCTTAAAGTGAATACACTTTCCTCCTATAAATTTTTATTTTATTTTTTTCTCAAACATGAGTTGAAGCTTGAAGCTTGATATGTTTGATAAGTCAAAGAGCTCTGGCTGCATTCCACTTATAACAGGCAATAAGAATTTTTATTATCTCCCCATTCCAGTAACTTAAACTCTAGAGTAGATTTTGCATACTTGCTTAACAAGAAAATAGCAGACAGCTTTACAGTTTATGTTTCACAGGAAAATACTACTTTTTCTTCAAAAGTGTAAAGGTATTACGACTATTCCCTTTTAAAAATCTGCACATCAGGAATGAATTACTATAACTGCAAAACCAAAAAAGAACACAACAGTTTTATCTTCATGGAAGATGAAAGCTCTCACCAGCTTTCATGGGACTCTAGTGACCCTTTGAACAGGAATACATCTACAAAGTATGGACTCTGTTCTATTTATAATTTGACTATAATTCCACCCTCTATATTATGTAGTTTCAGTATGTATTAGATTTGCACACTGCTTTTTAAAAGATGCAGGTGTTCCATGGTTTCATTGGAATACATATGCTGGATTTTTCAGACTGGATCCTGTAGCATCCTAAAAATACTTAGGTCCTCCAATTGTATTTGAACTGCCTGCATGTTAACATTTTACAGAGTTCCTCTCTGACTCATAACATACAGTAGTACAGAAAACACAAAGAGCATAGGCATTTAGGAATACTGTCATGGGTGTAGCTGTGTAAAAAAAAAAATAAAAAAATTCAATAAATGGTCTTGCTTACTTTCAGAAAAAGGGAAGATTGCTACCAATTTTCCAAGCTTGTCATAAAGAGGCCATTGGATTCACCTGGGAAAAAAGTCATTACTATAAGAGCAACTTCTATTAGATTAAAATGTCGAAGTTTGTGACAATTTAGAATAGGAATTAAAAATAAAACTTCCATTTCAGGCTATTGTAATATTGTCATTCAGATGTTCTTGCTGCAAGCCAAAGAAACTTTGGGATCTCATGTTGCTCAATGACATCTTATTTTTCCAGGTGTTGACTGCAGGAGTAGACCTCTATAACAGCACCTCCTGATTAAACTGTCTGGTATTTGGGGTAGTGGGTCCTGGGATATTCCATGTGGTGGAGAAGCCAGTGGGAGGCAAAGAGGGAGGCAGAGGAGATGAGGAGGACATGCCAGAGCTGGGTGCATCTGTGCAGGGTTCCTGCCTGCCTGTCTTGTCCCACTGAAGCAACCTGAGTGCATCCAAGTGTCGCTACAGCACACTTCCTCATTCTCCTCTCCCTCTTGCCCTAGTTCCCCTGTCTTTGCAGGCCATGCTCACCTTCATTTGCTGCTCCTTGGTCCCATAGACCTTGTCCTCCTTCCTCCCAAAAAACCCCCTGTGGCCTGACTTGCTTCAAGCTCCCTCTTTCCAGAAGGTGCACCTTTCCTGGTCCCTCTTTCCTGGGGCATCAGGGCCACCCATGCTGTTGCCAGGCTTCTTCCCCCTGCCCCAGGGCTCCCAGTGTTACCCAGGGACCAGCTGTGTGGTGCCTGTGCACAGCGCCCAACCCCTGAGCTGCCCTCGGCCCTCCCTGCAGTGGGCCACGAGCTGTGCTGGCAGTTGGGATGGATTCAGGTGCTGCACAGCAAAACCCAACACTGGGTCTAGGCTGCCACCAGAGAGACCTTTCCTGACTACAGCTTGTTGATGGCATTTGGTTTAGCAATGTAGACTTATTTTAAAGCAAGTGACAGTCACGAGTTTGGTACCGGGTCAGTACAGCGCACTAATCTAAAATATAATTGTTTTGGTTTTTTAATGTAAGTAAAGTTGTCTGCTAATACAGTCCTTGTACTTATCTATTGAACTTTCAAACCAGTAATGAAACTTTCTTATTGCTGTCTGTCTTTGCACTACATAGGCAGAATAAAGGATATGGTAGGGACTTTGAAAGCTCTGCCCAAAAACTTGATGATTAGAAATCCAGAATTGACAGCTGTGTTGCTAATGAGAAAGGGGAAGATCCTGAGGAGAAATTAGAGAAAATAAATTCAAATCACACTTAAAAGAAAGTGTAGACTGCATGTCACGTAAGGGGGTTTCTGGAAAACAGATTTCAGTTCCAGATATATTCACTGCCTTTTCCTCTTTCCAAGCTGAACTTTCCAAATAAGTTTGCCTCTGTTTCATCTGTGTCAATATCAATTTTGATGGGTTCTAAACTATGTGGGAACTGAAAAGCATCCCTCCTACCTAGGCATAAACTTTCTTCAATTTCTTGTTGACAACCTCTTATGTGAATTGCTTTTCTTAGTCCAATTTAGAAATTTCTATTCAAAAGATGAGAAACAACCAAGGGCTGTCTGAACCAGCCAGAAAACTTCTGTCAGGGAACTAAGTAAAATCAAAGGATAAACATTCACAATTTATAGTAAACTCAGAATTTTCCTGTGAAAAATTAAGTTAAATTGTTTATATTCATGAGCTTCTAATTTAAATACATTGGATTCACTGCTTTGAAGTTATTTTTTCTTTAATACCCCAAACTCTCATAAAGAGACTAGATGATCTCCCATTTATTGCAATGTAAGATGTAGCTGAAATACATGATACAGTTTATCTCTGCAAAGTGATTTTAAAATTTTAAAACTGCTAGCATAACCAAAAAAACCTCAATTTTATTTATATGGCTTTGGCTATTTCAGTGAGAAACAGATGGCTTTAAAGCACAGCTTTTGCATGCAGCATCCTACCAATTTAAATGGCAAGATTTTTACATCCTGAACCTGTAAATGAGGCCACATCACGTTATCCTCAAGGCTCTCTGTGCTGCTTTATTCAGCAGAAGGATTCCTCTCCAGAAATCTGTCTTCAGTTGCTACATTAGGGAATTAAAATTTACAGTAGCTTATGTACAGAGATATTTTACATGAACTGTAGACCTTTAGCTCCTTCTTTTGAGTAGAAATGAAACCTTGCATATGCCCGAGGTAACAATATGGAACTATGGGGAATATGTTTTTTCTAAACAGTGGTGGAAGTCTCTACGAGTAGGAAACAGTATTGTAAATAGCAAGGCATTTTTAAAATAAACTTATACTATTAAGACACAGAGACTTACAGAGACTTGGTTTAGATACTGTTGAAAAAAATGGGAGACTTCAGCAGGATGCAGGAGTTGAGCTGAAGTTGATTGCATTCATGTTTCATTTTGTTCAAGTAGAATAGGGATTATGCCCATTGCATTAGACTGAAAATAAGAATTCCAGCATGCTTTTAAGTCTTCTCTGGAAGTTGGAAAACATACCATAAAGATGCATGTTGCCAATACTCTGTTCCTTTGTTTGCAATAATATTACTGTAGAAGTGCATCCTGGATGGAAAACAGGACAGGTGAGTTAACTGGAGCTGAGGAAGAGGGGTGAGGTTTGAACCGTGTCTGTGATTCAGGATTATGGGTGAGCATTAGTGTTGGCATAAGTGGCATGCTCATAAAGGAGTATCAGCTCTTAAAATAAGTGATATTAAGCAATGTGAGTGACAGTGTAATAGGAAAAAAGGTAGAAAATAAATAGGAACAACCTCCATGTGATTACCTTGCTTAAGCATAGATACCAAATATGTATTTGTGTCCTATTGCACTATACCAATGATAAGGAATATCTGCATTCTCCTATTTCACATTTCCTATTTGATTGTTTTCATTGACAGGGTATAAAGTAACATTTTTATGATTACATTACCTTATCACTTCTGAGTTCTAGATGGTTTTTCAGTAAGAATTTCACTTCTCAATTAGCTAATTTAATTCCTGACATTGGTCTTGTACAAGCTGTGAAAGCAGAAAAGTATTTGTATGTTTGGACACCTTTAAGCACCAGGAACCTTTACTTTTTTTATTTTTGAAGGAGTGGGGAGAGAGAAAAAGGTAGAAAAGCTGTCAAGCTTATACAAATAGTAACTTGCTAAGTCTACAGGCCAAGATTTTCAAGGCTTTTATGATTCTTTGTATCACCACTCTAGGATTGAATGCAAGGATTGAATATCTTTAAGCATTTCAACATAGGTACCTAAAATCAGAAATTACTTAGACTGAAAACCCTTGTCATGAGTTGTGCTGTTTTGATATTTGAAGTACTTTTTTTAAAAAGGGCAAAGAAAATTATTCAGAAATTCTGCATTTACAAATAAAGACTTGTTGCTTCTGATGTTAGTCAGGATCTTCATTTTAGAATATTTCAAAATGCTGTAATTCAATTAGGAAAATTTTTCTTTGGACTAATACTCACGTAGTGGCTAGACTTCATTTCTATCATTATTTTACTGTATTTGTTTCTGAAATAATGATGAAATAAGTACTATTTTAGAAAAAAAAAAAAAAAAAAAAAGACCTTATGATTTTGATTTTGTTTTTATAGCAGTGTGAAGAGTGTAAGATTTTCCTGAACTGGCTTATGCTTGCATAAGCTGCTAGGAGTAGAAGTAATATGACTATGTGTGGTTAGTGGGCTTAAAATAGTAACCATGGAATATAAAATGCTCAATTTTGAATTGAACTGTTTTGGCAGAAGCCAGGGCTTTTTAACCTTCTAGTCTCTAAAGTCTATGCACCAGAGCTAAGTTTGAAAACACTTTGAGATTTAATTGTACATATACAATGGAGTAACAGTAGCTAATTAATTATAAAACCTAAAATGATACGTATCCATCTTAATGCATTATTGTAATTATTTTAGTTGACATTACTTTTATGCAGTAGCTTGTATTTTACTTTTCTTGAGTTAATCTCCTATAACATATATTTTTATATATACACACTCCTATTATGTTATTTTACTAGTCTTATTTAAAAAGGGAACATTAAATACTGAATACTGTACCTCAATTTTATTGTAATGATTTTACTGGTTACCAGGTGGGGTGGCAGTTGAAAAATTTGGTGAATGCACTACGAGAGGATCCGAGTGGTGTTATCTTAACTTTGAAAAAGCGACCTCAGAGCATGCTTACCTCAGCACCAGCTTTACTGAAAAATATGAGATGGAAGCCCCTTGCTCTGCAGGTAATGAAGCTTAATCATAAGTCATACACCATCATTTTAACTATAGATTATCTCAATGCTTTATTGTGCTTCATCTCAGCAGCATATGGATTTACTCTTGTATACTTTGAAAAATTGTTTCTGAAATGATTTCTCTGCAGCTTGTTCTAATAGGCTTAATTTAAATTAAACCTGTTATTAGAACTTTCAAAAGTTAAGAAGTAACCATCCCAGTGTTTTACAATGCATAAAAGTAGTCCCAGATAACTTTGCTCACCAAAGGGAAACAAGAATACTTTAGAAACTGATAAATTTTAGTTGGCCTTCTTGTTAAGCCCTCAGTGCAGTATAATGTCAAAGAAAAAGGGAAAAAAATATCTTGAGTACTCAGTTTCATCAATCCTGGAGTTATAGGAAAATGTATCAGGTGATTTTATTCAATAAACCACATGACCATCAAAATTTCCTCATGTAAATAAAGTCATGTTCATATCATAGTTGTCCTTGAGATTAAACCCTTGCACATAAGGAAGTGTAGCACAGAATGTCTGGCTGAGCCTTTTAATTTTAGTTATTTTGCAATGTACTACAAAGAACAGAATGGTTTTATTAAAGCTGTCATGTTTCACTCTAGGATAAAATGTCACTGTGATGGGTTAGTCTAGGAAATAAAAGTTATGTCCAGACTGATGATAGCATGTAACCAACAGATAGAACTGACAAATAATCCTTTTTTTTTCATTGAGTTCAAATAGAATAAGGTTTAAAAATTTATTTTTGTAGCATAAAGAATACATTTTTCAGGACATTTTTATTCTCACAATAAAAAGTCTGATTTAAAATTAAGTAAGTTTGAGAGAGAAAAGACTTCTGCAAAGTTTGAGTAAAAGGAAAATGAGATATGGAAATGCCATTGCCAGTAACTGTGTTCTTTGCCATTTAAATTTTAAGAGTTTCATAAAAAGAACTAATGCCATAAAGAACTTATTTTAAATATGTATATATATATATATATAAAATATTTTATAGTGGTTACATGCGCAATTGTCTTTGAAACCGTGTTAAGTTTTTTAAATTATTCTTGGTCTTTCAGATATAAAGTACTGACTAGAGATGTGATACAAAACTTTCAACCAAAACACTTTATTAGTGTCTGAACACAGAATTGCAAATCTGTGTGTATGATATGAGTGTATGAATATCCGTTCTTGAAGGCTGTACTTTTATTGTAGCCTTAGTGAGAATAGAAATACAAATGAAAAATACACATCATTGCTTTTAAATGGTGTCAAGTGCTGTCAGTCTAAATCCTCTTTGGGCGAGTTTGGTATTTCTTCTGGTTAGTTGAATCTTTCTCCTAAATACTTCTTTTTGCTTTATGTTATACATTGCCCCTAGAATAATTACATGGAAGACCCCAGAATAGAAGTTTCTGACATGGGCCATTGATTCAGACAATGCAAACACTCAATTAAATCAAGACAGGCTACTCCAAATGGGTGGGAAGAAATTGGATAGAAACTGATTTCCACCATTTAAACTAAGGCCAGTAGGAAAGCGAGGATTTGTGTGGTCCTTTTACAGTCATGAGCTAAAGATGTGGGTGTGTTTGAAACTCCACACTCCAGATACAAAAACCCAGTGATTTTTTGGTGTGTTTTATTTGGCTTTGATTTACATCTCAGCATGCTTAGTTCAATACAGATAACAGAGTGTTAATCAAGTGATCTAACTTTAGATATCTGCTATGTACATACCTACATACCATTCAAGTTTCTCGTGTTTAGTTCCTTTGGCCAGCAGACATACATAGCAGTCACTGGTTCACTCATCTTGGCCTATTTTAAACTGATCTGCCCTAGGATAAGCTGAATAGGACCATGCACATGCCTCTTTCTCTTAATTTGTTGACAAAGGGAGTCTGGACAGCTAGCTCAAATGTAGGTTGTCTGCATTAGATGAGACTGATCCTATGTAGAGGTTTTCTGTAATCTCACAGGTTTGGAGGGGCCAGAGGGAGGGGATGGTAATGGGAGTATTGCTTTTGATGTTGTTTTTTTTGCTGCTAGCATGGAAAATATGAATATTTTGGAGGCTAATATGAGTACCAGAAAGATACTGTTAAACATTAGAGATGCAATTCTGGTGTCATGATGATACTATTCTGATTTTATCAAGCATGACACCAAGAAAAGGCCAGAACCGCATTCAACACTTAAGTGTGAAGTGTGCATATGTGTGTCTGTTGTAATTTGTGATTTTAATGTGAGAAACAACAGTTTTCTTAAGTAGACTGTGTTGAAAAAGCTCCAGGGCAAAGTGAAGACAAACTTCAGAAGCTGCATAATGTGAAGATTTCTGTTATTAATTTATGCAGATCAGAGGTGGGCAGATGTAAAGTCAGCTGATCTTAAAGTTTAAATGTAGCCTAAGTGTGACATCGGAACTGTACATTTGATTGATAACACATAGAGAAAGCAGTCAGAGTGCAGTGCAACTTCGTAGCTATTAAAAATATGAAGAAATCATGTTTACTTAACAGAATTTGCTTCAAAAATTTCTGAAAAAAATCTTCAGAAAAGCTGTAGGTTTTGTAATTGCAGTTTGCCCCACAGCTGCTGGGAAATTTCTTATTCATGTAAGGGTGCTATTCTCTAATAGAAGCTTGGGAGGCTGTGTGAGAGGAGAGGGGGAAAGTAATAGCAAATAGGTAAAAAAACTTAAGGAAAAGCTTCCATCACCTTTGAGAGCTGAGGAAATTATGATAACTTATTTTCCTATATCAGGATGCCATGAAATAATTGAGAATGTTATAACCGTGCTGTCATCCCAGAACTAATTTAATTGAACCATATGTATTATTCAACAGACACAAGCTATAAAGAAATTATGACTCAGTAATAATTCTGTTAAAGTACAAAATATGAACAAAATATTCAAAAGAGTCTAGAATAAGATATGGGAATGAAATTCTGATAAGATGGGAACTAGGATCTGCAAACTGACTGCTGTGGGTTTTTTATGTTCTGCAAATGAAGTGAACAGAGTAAAAATGTGGTGCCAAATCATAATCAAATTGCAATGACTGAGGTAGGAATGTGGAAGTTTGCCCTAATGTAAGGAGGCTGACACAAAAGCAGAGACAGGTTTTTAATGCACCCTACCAATGGATATGTTGAACAGCTGTTGCAGCAAATATAGAAGGTAAATATTTCAGTGAATTTCATTGAAATACGTTTACATTGAGACTCACATTGGGATGCTTTAATTGAGAACCTTCAAAATCTAATTTTAAATGAAAGTGAATGATGTTGAGGCACTATTGGTAAATTACATTCTACTTCTTTAGTCAATAATTGAAGTAAGAACATGAAGTTTGCCATTTGCAGCTACATGAAAAACTAGATTTAATGGAGACATACTAAGTATACATGTAAGATGGGAAATGCTAGACAAGTCTTCCAATTCACACAGTATGCAGGTACTCCCACTGTATAAAGCAGCCTGCTGTGTGAGTGAAAAGGCATCCTGGTAATTGAATTATGCATTCTCATAATGAATTTCTTAAGAGCTTGCTGTCCACTGTTAGTGATCTAGATTAGCCATATGCCAGCCAAACATTTGTGGACTCTGAGTGTAGAAAAAGCTTTTAGATCATTCAGATATTAACTGGTTACTAATTGCCATAAATACCTCTTAGAATGTTCAGTGGTTTACTTAGACCAGTTCTGCCTTCACATTGCAGTCTTGCCATGAGTTACAAGCTCAATGCACTCTACATAATTATTTCTTTATTCTCAGAGGATTTTTTCCCTTTTAGCAGAATGTGGTATATTCATTCTTTTCACAAATATCTTTAGAATAAATATGACAGATTAGGGGAAAGAAAGAAGAATGGAACCTATGTAGCAGTGTTGAAACTGATATTAAATGCCTTGATGTACAGTAAAATAATACAATTTTCCTATGGCTATACTATGCACCATTACATAATGAGCTGGTTATTACAAGTGCATTAATTCCAGCTCTAAGGTCGATCAGCATAGAAAGAAAATAATTTTTTTTCTTCCCTTGTGTCCCGATTAAAGGGAGTGCTGGTTGGTTTGTTTTGTTTTGCTTTCAGTCACTTGGTGATTGTCTGTTTTAATATCTATCAGTATCCAACTACTTGCAGATAATCAGAGTTCTCCCTTGGTGACTTCTGGAATCTTGTCAGAATTTATGAAGTCAAGGGATTTTTCCACCTGTATTTTTCTTTATTGGTTTCATAAGATTCGAATTAGGCAACTGTAGCCTTCGGGAATTTAGTGATTGCCCTTGCAATTGAAGGTATTCATTAACATGGTATTGTACCATAAATACTAAGATGTTATGCCTGCAAGACAAATCTTACTAAATTTGCCTTTCAGTTACTTTTTCTGATACTTGCTTTGATTGTGTGAAGGCCTAGAATAATTTTTCAGATTGCAATGTTTGTATTTCTGACTACTACTGAATGTCGTGAACAAACCAAATAACTTTAACAGTTAATATTTTATTTTTCTTACTTTACATAGAGGTGACTTAATTTTCTTTGAACTCCCCAAGCTCATTGTCTGCTTGAAAAAACAACTTAAATAAACATCCTCAACTCTAGATTGTCTGTTTTATTTCTCCTTTTTACTTTGTATTATGTTTGGGAGGTCTCAAAAGGAGGCTCCTTTGATAGAGAAGATTCTCAGAGCATATGAAATCTTATGTAAGTCGTTATCATCATGCTAGCAAGCATCTGACTGCAAAGTCCTTCTTTGCCTTCTGGAGAATGCCTTGTTAATAAGGCAAAAGAAACTGCACTTAGACTGCAGCATGAAGACTCTTCATCCAGTTGTTTTATAATACAGAAAAGGAGCAGCAGAGCAACACATTGCCATGCTTCAGCTAATTTGGGCTACCCCCTGCCAATATCAATGAAGAGGCTCTTAAGTGCTGTGAGTGAGGTTGGAGGCAGGTCCAGCTGCCAGCCATATCTTGCGTGTTGACTTGGAAAAAAAACTTTCTAGTTCCTCTTAAACACTGTCACACTCTTCACCAAGCTTATTTAAATGCCAGCTTTTGTACATTTAAAATATTTCACTGTACTGTTTTGTATGTGATTAAATGGTACCATTATGAAATCACCAACAGTTCAGTATCTGTAGTTTTTTTTACAGACTGTATTTTGGATTAGATATGCATCGTATTTCTCCTATGATATGTTCAGTTTTTCAGCATCCTGAAGCAATAGCAACACTAACAACAGAATCCTTGGTTTGAGAGAAAATACTACTTCTATTATTTTTAATATTCTTCTTTATTGTATTTCCTCCTTCATTCATCTAAACACAATTATATATTCTGTTTTCATAATTTATTATTAGAATTATTGACCTTACACTTTTTAATAATTAAATTTGAATAAAATACCTTTTTGCTCCTTGGTTGCTTAGTTGTCTTTTAACTACATGGGAACTGGGCATTCTTTGCATGGATTCTGACTTGAGTTTTCCTACAGGCTATGGATTAGTTATAGTTTGTCATTAGTTCATGTGATGATTGTTCTTATAAAAAGTTTAGTTTACTGGAAACATTCTGTTGAATAAATTGTCATAACCTTGATCTGATATGAAAAATATATAAACAGTAAAATCTGTTTACTGATGCAAATATTGTATAAAGATATTACCACGTAAAATTTTGTATTGGTTTTGCTTATATTTTTTAAAACTGTATGTCTTTTTCTGGAGCAGTATTTCTCAAACTATGCATTGTAGCTTCCAAGGGTGTTAATAAAAATGTTCAAAGAATTTAAAAAAAAATCAAAAAAATGTTAGGTTATATACATATATATATTTATATAATATTAATTACCTTCATTGTTTAGAGAAAATACAAAAATAATATGCTGAGTTACTGGGGGGAACCCTCTCAGTTCCTTCAGGATTGGAGGATGGAAAAGCACCAATAAGTCCTGGTGGCAGAGAGGTAGAGACTACAGGACAGAGCAGCTTCTGGAGGAGAGGGGACTTAAGTATCTATGTGTTGTCAGTCACTACTTACAGGGACTTCTTATTTCCCTGTGTTAGACAAACTGAGCTGCAGTAAGTAAAGACGGTTGGTTGGCTGTTCCCTGACCAACTGACAATTTGGGAAAGGGTCCATAACAACTAATGATCCTGAAAGAGGATGGTGCATCCAATATGTTTGAGAAATAGTACTCCAAAATGTATTGAAATATGGGGTTTTCTTCTCTTTGTGTGGATTAAGATTGATGCAGGGTCTTTTCTGGGACATTTTTGAGGTTATCTGAGTTTTAATATGTAACTTCTGAACTTTCTCTGTCAGGCTATTCCCATGGGTCAAGTATTTAACTCTTTGGACCCAAAAACTTTATAGTTTAATTGCTATTTCAGCAATCTCACTAGCCCCTGCCAGCCTACCAAATGGGAATGCAGCAGGAAAAAGCCCTAGTCCTTGGAAGTTAATTAACTCAGTGATAACATTGCTCTCTGGGGCATCCAATTCAGAAATATGTGAGTGGAGTTCCATGTTTTTTTCTGTTCAGTGTGGCCACATACAATCCACTGAATGGCTGCCATTGAACTGCAGAGCTACCAGACCTGATTTACCTGCACATTCAAAAATGGACTTGAACTGAGTGATGGAGGTCTCTCTAAATTGCAATGTAAAATGTTACACAGCTTTTCTGTTTTGTGGAAATATGCTGGACAGCTAACTTTGGCAATATGACCCAAAAATGGAAAAGATATGAGACATCCTAATAAGTTCTGAGACAATCCTACAGGATTCTGCTTCCCCTTGTACTAGATTGTATTACAGTTGCTATCTCTTTGGGAGCTCTGAGTGCCCTGGGAAGGTGTACCCATACTCCTATCCTGTGAGATACCACAGTAATTCAGACACACACTAATTACACTAATTTTACCTCTGGAAGTGTCTGACATGGGATCAGTGTGAGGGAAACCTTTTACCTTTAGGTAGTGTTTTTCTGTAGCAGACTGAATACTATTTCTTGCTATTGCACTTGCTGTTTTAACCACCTTGCTGAGCCAAAAGATGAAGCAAAATACACATTAGTGAAAGATCCATAAACCCTAGGTGATTTTCAGCATCTTCCAGAAAACTGTTCTGGAGGACAAATCAACTTTTATGTCTGGGCTGTGTATTAGGGACCAGTGAAGTGTGAAGTTACCCAATAGAAACCTCATTCTGCAGCAAAATAGGGGTTTTGAGGTGGTTTGGGGTTTTTTTTTGTTCAGAAATTAAGCTCATATAATTAGTATTTAAATAGTTGAGCCCAGGTATTCCAAGCTGTAACAGAAGAGAAATTCCTTACCCATGTCCTCTAGCCCTCCAGCAACTGGTCAGGACCACCAGAGGCTCATCAACCTGTTGTAAGTCCAGATCACTGTTATGCTTGAGCATGATTTTCCTTATGTGACATAAACCATAAACTTGTATTCAGCCACCAGTTTAGTCTGCAGGGCCCCCTTTCCATTTACCTACCTATTTATGCAGGTAAAGTATAGAGCTGTCTTCTTCCTCAAAGTGGAGAATAGTAAATCCATCTACCCAGCATGTCTTCCTCTTAGTGCTTCTGCCAGTAAGAGCCCTGAACAACAACAGCCCAGGCTTAACAAGTCTAGACAAGGTCAGGGTCACAAAATTATTTTGGTTTACAATGAAAATTAATTCTAGAGGCTACTTAGCAAGCTACTTGTCATGGAAGTGCAAGATATCAGAAGGATGTAAGTGGTGTTATATTAGAAAGTGTTTCAAGAACATCCATTGCTACTGTTACAAGTGAAAATTTAAAGGATAAGATTTTTATTTCTCTGAAAGAGGTTGTTTGGGGGGGGTTGTTTGTTTTTGTTCTTGGTTTGGTTTTTTTTGTTGTTGTTGTATTTTTTTTACCCAATTTTGCCACAGACTTTGTTCTTATTTTTGCAGACTTCTGTGATTCTTGTTTTTCTGGCTGTAAAATCTTTTGCCTGTCTGGTTTCGTGTGTTTGTCTCCCTCCCTTCCTGTGAATACTGTCAGTCTTGAATTAGCCTGGCTACAGAATACTCAAGTTAACTCTAATGAGCAAGGAAAGAATTCAGCACTATCACTGTTGACAGGAGATGATTTTCCAACATTCAAAAAACAAAAGCTTGAGTCAGTGTATAGCTATTGCTCTAAAGGATTTGCAGTTTTAACAAGAAAATTTTAAGCATACATTTTATTATGTTTGAGATAAATAACATCTAACACAGCTCTGTTCCCAAAACCAGACAGTAACTGGCTAAAGGATGAAGTTTCCTCGGTAGCATGCAGTATTCTTACATGTAGAAACACTGGGTTTTTTGCTTGATCAGCATAAATTCAAATGGCTCGTTGCTAGTTTATGAAAGGCAAACGTTTTGAAAAGGTTCCTGCTGTTGAACCCTTGGGGTTTTCTGCAGTATAGGCATAATGCTACAGTGTCAAGATTAATATCTGGAAAATGAGAACTGATTACTCTGCACAGGAATGTCCAGTTGGTCTGTCATAAAGTATTGTGAACAGTTTTGGCAGAAGAATCTTTCTATGCAACCATTCAGTCAGTATTTAGAGCTTCTCTGCCATCAACACAATCTGAAATGTTTGTGTGCTCTAGTAGTTATTTAGGTCAGAATTGATAAGTATGGTAAACTCTCTTTAATCCCAACACTTGTTTCTTCAAGGAGTTCACTTCCAAAAAGATGGAGGGGAAAGAACTCTTTCAAAGCAAAACTCAGGATTTATTTAATATTAGATTAATTTTAGAATATACGAAGAAACTGTTGTACTTGCTGTTTTGCCATTTTTCTTTTTATTCTGCTTGAGTTTAGCTATCACACAAGCCAAGAGACTAAAGGCTTTTGTTATTAGGCAGACATTATTAAGTAGATTAAAGCAATCAGTTTTCTTCCCGTTTCATTTCTCTGCAAGTGTAGAGAGATTGTTAGAAAAACTTGCTATGATTTCCATCTCTACAGTGATTTAATAGACTCTTCAAATGGTTGGTCATTATTTAGCTAGCCAAGGTAGTTAACTTGAGGAATAAAAAAGGGATGCCTAATTCATAACAGGGAGAGATGTGATTAAGAGGTAGGATCCTATTTGGACTAGAGCAATAGCTAGAATGCATTATTATTCTGCAAGGAGTGTACAATTTATTTACCTGTAAGTAAATGTTAGTTTATGAGGAGTGTGCCCATGGGAGTGAAGAATAATAATAATCTCCAGTTTATTCTGTCTCATAGTGCCTGTGCTCTAAGAATGCAGTACCTGATTTTACTGCATCTGCAAACATAAATTGAAGCATTTACAGTTAATTCTTAAGCTGTAGAGCAGATGGAGGAAGATGACATTCAGTTTAATGCCTACTTATACACCTTTTACTGTAAACACTAGACTTTTTCTTTGCAATGTTCACTTAGTTAAGGAATTCACTGGATTCTCTATGTTATTTACTCATTAAGATTTCACATGTGGCTCTACTGATTACCATTTTTATGGGCATTAACAGTAATCTTGCGGTGCAAAATGGAAAGAAATGTGATCAGAGGAGTCAATTTTATAAGCACAATGCATGTCCATTCATAGATCTGTCTCCTTAGCATGAGTGGGTTTTTTCAGTCAGTTTAAAAGCACAGAAGATATTAGAAGTTTACTGTTTCTTTAACTTTCTGAATTACAGAATGTTTATAGCTTTTTCAAACAAAAATGTATAATATATAAAGAAAATCTTGGTTATTTCTCTCTCTCTCTCTCTTGAACCAGCCTCTTATTCCTAGAAGTCCTACAAGCAGTGTTGCTACACCGTCCAGCACTATCAGCACACCTACAAAAAGAGACAGCTCTGCCCTTCAGGATCTCTACATACCTCCTCCTCCAACAGAACCTTATGTTCCAAGGTAAACAAGATCATTTCGGGTAAAATTAAATGAAAAAAAGTATTTCTAAAGTAACTGAACATTTTGCTCCTACCCATTTATCAGCCTGACCTACAGGATTAGGCTGATAATACTTCATTTTGCAGGTGAACTAGTTATTAAGGGTAGATGTGCTGAATCAATCCCACAATGATCAGAATCAGTGTCTTGTCTGCAAAACAGACACTAGCATTTAGAGAAAAAGGTTCAATACCCTATTTTCTCAAATGTGGGTTAAACTACTGTCTGTGACAGTCTCATCCTATTTCAGAAGAGCTAAAATTATCTGAAACTCTAAATCTCTTACTGGGAAAAAGCTTCTATCTGTCCCCTTGCCTAATAACCATGATGCAGCAAGAGATGTGGAGCTAAAAGCAAGAAACTTTCAACTTCAGCAATAGTACTGTTTCATTCTGCTGCAGCGTTGTCTTCTTCAGATATATTTGATTAGATAGTTTTAGAGAAAAATTCAGAATTTCACTCTGCAGTGACCATGCTGTTCGTTGTTAATATATCTGCTACTCTGGCCTGCCACATGGAACAGGCATTTTCTTCTTTCCCAGGTCTCTGGGCTTGCTGAGCCACAAAGCATCATATCTTCCTTGCAGATTCATCGCCCTACCCTCACAGAACCTCAAATTCCAGTGTAATCCCAGAATGTATATAGATATTGCTTTCCTAAAATTCTCTTGAGAGTTATGGCCTACACATAATGCAGAAATAGCTACCTAGAAATGTATTTAAGAGGAAACAGTATTTTTAAAGCTTCCATATTCTTAGACACAGGCTATCATATGTCCAGTCAATGTATATTTAAATTACTTCTTGCTTCTCTTTTAGTTAACTTTCTTGGAAAGACTGTAAGGGCAACATGTCCTTTGTTGTACCTGATTTTTTTGTAGCTGAATTTTTCTTAGACTTTTTAACCAATAACTCTTCTAGCTAATTAATAAGATGTATGACCTGATACTGACAAGACTTTCCTGGGTGTTATCTACGAGTGATGTATATGGCAAATTAAATTGCCTAGTGGGGAGGAGAAGATGTGATTCTGTGATAAGTTCTTACTCTTCAGAGATACAAAAATCCTTCCAGGGCAAAAGAATGATTTTCTACTTCATGATTTAGGTAATGTCTCACCATAAGCTGAGTCCCATGTTCCTTCCTCATCCCTGCCTCATCTGTTATCTGGCTTGTTTTTTATTTCTTGAAAAAAAATTATTACCATTCTGTTTCCAGTGTGGCTTATATAACACAGCTGAAAATGCTAACACAGTTACTCTAATATCTCTCTTAAAGTGACACAGAGACAAACAGAATACATAGTCTAGTTCACTTTTAAATTAGTCTTTTATTTCTCTGATAACAGTTTTGTTACATCTGTGTAAATATTTTAAGGAAACAGTTTTCAGAAAATCCACACAAAAAAATCTGAGACATTAATGTGAAAAGGTTGCAGTAGGAAACACCAACCAAAATGTAGTGTTAGGTTTCTCTAGGTTTCTTAGGTTTTTGAATGCAGTAGTTATATAGTAAAGATTTGTTGCTCCTGAAACTGGAACTGTACTATCTTGGAAGAAGTTAATGCCTTTGTACTGCTGCTGATCATGTTTACCACCACAAAATCACTTTTATTTGATAAGAAATGCATCTTCTTTCTTGAAGTATTTTTAGTCAGTATTTGCTGTTTAGCAGTTCTTGTGATCTTCAAAATACATTTTGATTCTTTATTAATAAAATTTCTTAAATTATTATGATAACCCAGTAGTTTGGAACAATTCTGATTAAATCTTATAATACATATTAGTACAAGCTGTAATTTTACAAAGAGATTAATCTATGTACGTTTGATATCTTTTTATATCACTTTAATCCTAATGGACTATCCTGCTTTTCACAAGCTTGTCACATAGTGTACAGTGTTTCTGAATAATCTGTTTTGGTATTTTATTAGGTTGTCTTTATTTCTGCTGTTCAGCATCTGTTTCTCCCTTTGTCATTGCTGTTCGGGGGTGGGGGGGGGAGGAAAAAAAACAACAAAGAAACAAGCCCTCTTTTTGTTACTCAAATAAAGTAAAAGACTCAATATTTTGATGCAAATTGTAGCACTCTGAAGCTGTGCCCCTTGGTGAGAGATAGTACAGTTGCTGACCTAACTGCACATGGACGGCATGAGAGGGACTGATGCTTTCCATTTGCCCTGTTACTTAAAAGTGCTGGTCGTAACTTAGTGCCTGCTCAAATTTGTCAAATACCTTAGGGGGTAAGAACTGAAGCCCTCATCTCCAGAGAGCTGTTGCACAGAGTGTTTGCCTGGTGGCTGTGTGCTTCTCTCCTTGCTGGCAGGAAAGATCCTTCCAGCTCTGGCACCCTCCTTATCATGGAAAAACAAAGAGTAGCTGCACATCAACTTTATTGCTGATACAGTCTGTAAAAGAACTGCATAAGCAGAGGTGTGTGAGAAAACTGACACACAGGTGGATATATATGAGTATATGATGTGTGTTCCTGATGTTGGTCAATGGCATCTGTTTCTTGCCTGTATGAAATATTGACATACTCCCATGTTTACTGAATTATCCACAGTAAAAAAAAAAAAAAAAAAAAAAACCTAATACATTAAAAACCTCTTTTGTTTACTAAAGGGATGAAAAGGGAAATCTCCCGTGTGATGATGTTGGCAGACACATAGTGGGCAAGCCAGTTCACACAGGATCCGAATCTCCAAACTCATTTCTTGACCAGGAGTATCGGAAACGCTTTAATGTGGTTGAAGAGGATGCAGTTTTATACTGCTACGAATATGAGAAAGGAAGAACAAGTGGTCCTGGAAGGAGAGAGAGCACACCAACATATGGTATGGTATTGATCTAGTAAGGATAATCCCAATTTGTCAATTTTAGGATTTTTGTCCATCTGCTTTTGTTTTTAAGCATGAAAACATTTCCAGTGGCCATTTGTTTTGCTAAGAATTCTGTACTATTTTGGTACAATATCAAAAGTTTATTCAGTGCTATAGAAAATTAATTACTATGATAGGGAGGGCAACTCCAAGGGGTTTTTTTGTATCATTTTTCTCAATAGAAGGTCTGTAATTTTGTTATCATCTTAATTTTGCAGATAATCCTTTAGTGTTATTTTAGTTTCTACTTTTTTTTTTTTTTTAACTAAATATACAGGATGGACTTGTTCTCCCAGTATAAGGACAAGACTTGCATAAGTTTAAGAACTTAGCATTTGAAAAATTTCCTCAGGTGTAATGGTTTTAAAGATCATATTTACCACTTCATATTTACCAAGAGATGGCATGCAGCTTTCATGCTGCACTGCTCTCTAAAACATTCCAATTTTAATTTAGGCCCAGAAATGAAGCATGACTGATGGTAGTATGTGTTTTTTGTAGTACTGCATTAACCTCCTTTAACTTCCTGTATGGGAACTGATGACTTCCTATATATGGCAGTTCCTCCTTATTTGAGGTTAAGTGTGGTCTATGGAAGAATTTTGCATGTAAACACACATACGTATTCATGCTGCTTTCACATCTTGGATTTATTTAGTGTGAGAACTGAGAAACAGTTTCTGGTGAGAGTTTTGCTCCTTCAACCTTTATGCTCCAGGCTTTTTTCCCTTTAAATCTGTTGGAACTCTTCATTTAGCTAGTATTGTAGCTTGCTTCTGCTTTGGACCAGGAAGACAGATTTTCTCTTGCCAAGCCTAAAATTATGCAGTCATAGAGTTGTTAAGATACAGAAGAAAATTAAGAGGAAATTTCATGTTTAAAAAAGATATTTTGATTACTATGGTATTAGCTGAGCACACACATGAATATTTTTTCACTCTATTTCCTGTGTTATTTGAAGTTTTAAACTGAGCACGAGCTGTATGTTTGGAGCTCTTATAGTAATCCTGACATCGTATGGCTTTAAGAAAGTAGAATTAATTTATGGGGAAGTGTAAGTTTAGTACATCATGCAGTCAAGCTCCAAAATCACCTGCAAACCTTGATATAAACTGAGCTTGAGCATCTAAAGTATCCTCAGGATCTGAACCGTTTGTGCTTGCACAACATTAAAGGATACATTTTCATAAAATGTACCCTTTCTACACAACTACAGAATCCTGCTTCAAAATTGTCACTATCCTTTTGATTTCATAGTGTTCTCAGTTGTTTTCTAACCATGTCCCTAGTGTACAACTATTACATTTGGTGGAGGCAGTCAGTTCCTTTAACTTCTAGATGTTGCATTTTAATCCTGATGCTATATAGTAAAGAAGAACACAGTTCTTCTGCTGGATCCATTATTTTTTTGGAGGATAGATTTTTAAACTTTTTTTTCTCTATTAGCAGAAAAGGTTATAAATACATGGATCACAGACTGCTCTGAAAATAAGTCATTATTTAACACATTTGTTATACATCCCTTCACTTTTGATCTCACTTCTGTTTTAATAAATTCACACCATCAAGTCCATTTTCATGTATTTTCTGAAGGCATTACCATTTCAGCATTAAATTCTGAAGTTTCCCACATGGCATTTGTTAGCATAAGACTTGTGACTGGGCATGACCTTAGGATTTCACAGAAATCTGGACAATGACAATGACACTCTTCTGGCTTATGGTGATCCACTGAAGTAGGTCCAGAGTACCAAGGCCTAGAGAAATAATTATTTTCAACATGTTCTCATCATTAATTATGTGGTGGTGGTGGTTTTGTGTTTGTTTGGTTTTTTTGTTGTTGTTTTTTAAATATTTATCAGTCCTCCTGTGTGAGAGTCTAATAGGGCCCTCTGTAGTTTCTTTCTTGGAATCTTTTGACATTTTTTGACAATGTTAACAAAGAGATTTCTCTTCCATGCTCTTGCATATCTGGCTTCTTGCTGTTGTATAATTGTTGCTAAATGGCCTCAAGGAGCTTCTGTTCACATCCCACAGAAGAAATTTTCCTGACTGTAGTCACCAGAGAAAACAGGTTTAGGGAATCCATTGGGGCTAAAAAGAAGAGCAGAGGTAGCAGGTGAATGAAACTTGAGTTCAAGGAAATAAACAAGTTTGGTCATTACAGTATTACTGCCAGATATAAAAAAAAGCATGCTTTTTTACCTATAGCTTTTGATAACAATCAGACTTTACATGGGTTTGCAGCTTTTGTATCTTTTTAAGTGTGCATGTCCTTTCAATAAAACACTATGAATTCAGCCTCACAACTGAAAGAAAGTTGTATTTCTAGAAAAAGTAACTGTTGAAAGTTACTTGTTGCCAAGTATACACGAGCTGAATACATCCCCATTCCAGAAATGGCCTCTTAACTGTATGCTCCAAATCTCACCAGCTTCAATTAGACTTAAATATGTCTCCATAAATAGTAAAATAAATGATAAATAAAAAGGTAAATATATGTTATATTTCCTGAGCAATGATGTATTTGTGACCTGATCCTGTGATCTGTATGAAACATACTCTTTTTTGGGGTCATTTTTAAAAAAAGACAATGCAGTCTTTTACCAGTATGTGCCTGCATGGTATTAGCGTATTTCCCATGGATGCCATACTCAATAGATAGACAGACATATCTTAGTATTTGTTTTCATTATAAACACATCTTTCTTTTTCAGTGTGTTACGGAATTAACCTCAAAAATGTGGATGAGCTTTATGTAGGAGCTTTCTACTAAAATTATTAACAAGACCTCTGAAGTTTCTACTTTAAACTCTGCTACTTTTAAAAGCAAATTATTTTACCACTGCTCAGTTTTGTGACCAATCCAAAAAAGAGTGAGGACTGGCCTTGTTGTGAAAATATTCTGTTTTCAGGCTGCCCGATACTGTGCCATATGCTATGCTACTCTATGTTTTGTCTCAATATACTACTTAATTTGCTGAAAACTTCAGACCCCTGTAAGTAATCCTGCTAAATTACATAGCACACTTTCGCTGAATTTCCAGCTGTGTTTGTGGAATCCTTAAACAGAAGTCGTGGTTCACAGTATTTTATAAAAAATCAGCTCTGCAGCTTCCAAATGAAAATTTAAAAGGTATAATCGTCTTCAGCTTTTCTGTCTCGTGCTGTCTGACATCAAAGTGAATTTACCAATACTAATGTACTTTGCTTTCTGTGGATGAAAAGCTACAAAAGAAATTACATGTAGAGAATTTCTGCTTCTTTTCTTACTCAGTCACTGATGGACCTTTAAAGCCCAGTAGCAAAAATGCTATTTGTGAAGGTACTTTAGTGATGTGGACACGTTTCTGTTGCCAATGATTTAAAAACAGTTCTCTCCATGTGTGTGCCAGGGGCTTCCAGAATAATAAATAGATGTTGTTCAGTGAAAACTAAAGTAATTTGAATGCATTTGTCAGTCTCAAATGTCAATCTGCTGATGATTTTGTAGGGCAATGGATTTATCTTCTAAATGTAAAAAAATCCATTAAATACTTCTCATCTGATAAAGAAAATAGAACTCAGATCTTAACCTCTTGTTCAGAAGTGATGCTGGATCCTCTTTCATAAGCAACCCTGTAGAATAATAGCAGCTTAGCACATAATTTGTTCTTTCTTCTAAAGAATGTTAGTTTAGTGCTGCCTTATGGTGCATGTTCTCTATTTTTTCCTTTGTTTCCAGGGAAACTAAGGCCTATTTCTATGCCAGTAGAATACAACTGGGTGGGGGATTATGAAGACCCCAATAAAATAAAAAGAGAAAGTAGGAGAGGTAAGTGATCTGACCACACATCTTGTACAAGGCATCGTGGGTTTTAGCATACTTTAAGTTGTATATTTCAAACTCATTTTGCTGCTTGCTTAGATTTGTATTTTGTAAACCTGTTTGGTTTTTTTTCATTATGTATACTCATTTTTTTGCAGAGTCTCTATTAGGATTGAGGAAGTTGCTCAGCCAGGCAAAATAAAATTATGACTGCAAAACCCTGCAGTTAGCTTAACTTGTGTTGCTTTTTATTGATTCAGCTGTATTATCCACTCCATTTTGAAACTGGCCTTAATTTTATAATACTAGAGGACAAATGCATGGTTATTACTGATAAATATTGTTATGCTTAAATGAGAATGACATATCACATTTCTCTGTCTTTATGAGTGTTTTTCTTGATAGAAAACATTCTAGAGTAGCATGGGATTCACCTCAAAATCATTGAGGATAAATTCTTCAAAATTCTGGTTTGTGAGACTCAGATGTGTAACTTCACATACAAAAGTATAATCTCTGAGATGGCTGTTATCACCCAGGAACAAGGTGTTGCAGTAATGATAGATGTTTCCATAAAAATATTAAGTAAAAGTTCTGTAGGGATCAGAAAAGGAAACACTGTTATGAATTATTAGGAAAAGAATGCAAGACAAATAAAGAAATATTATTACGCTGCTGTGTAAGTTCTTGCTCATGCTGGGGGTGTGTGCACTTCCGGTCTCTTAAACTCTTAAGAAAAATACAGAAGTGAAGAAGTTTTAGGAGACAACAATTATCACAGGTATGGAGTGGCTGACTTCCAAACCAGTCAATCCAGTAGAGCTGGCCATTATCAGTTTGGGACATTTTGGGCACGACACAGTAAAGGTTTAAAAAGTTGTGTGGAATGAAGTAAGGAAATGGGTTTGTCAGTATTTTTTTCTGAAACAAGACCTAAGAGAGATCAAAAGTCTCCAGTGAGCACTGGCTAAAAGGAAACAGTGATGGCTCCACATACAGTTCAGGTTTGACCTAAGAAACTTCTTGCTGTGGGAAGTTGTGAATACCAAAACTTCACATTTATACAAGGAAAGACCAGACAATTTCATGAAAGACAAATCTGCTGAGGTTTCATAGATTCACAAACATTACTTCTGGCTGAGGATGTCCCTCACCTATAAGCTGATGCTGAAAGTATATTTGAGAAAAGTATGGAATAATCCTGTGAATGACCTCAAATAAATGTTCAAAGCAAATTATTTTAAAATGTATGGCACCACAATCATTTTGATCTGTTAAGCTATCGGGTTTTGGTTTGTTTGTTTGTTTTTTTAAAAAAAAGATTACAGGTGTGATCATAAGTGTATCATTGCTCATATTTTTAAAATTTCAAGACAAAATTTATTCGAGTGGGGCTTCTTTTATATTCTGTTCCTTTTATTGTGAAAGATACCAGAAAACTGCAAGAATCATTCATTTTCCCTACTAAAAGATTGCTTTCTTATTATATCCAGACAACAGAAGCAGATGGGTTTTTTTAAGTAGTCTTGAAGAGTTAAAAATTGACAGTAGATCTTAGCAAGAATTGTATGTATTTTGGAAGGAGGATTAATTTACAAACAACAGTTCACAATGAAGTTTTGCATTACTTTTCTTTCAACAGAAAATTCATTGCTTCGCTATATGAGCAATGAGAAAATAGGTCAAGAAGACTACATGTTTCAAAGGAATAGCAAAAAGGATACTGGGAAAAAGTCCAAAAAGAAGGGAGACAAGAGTAGTAGTCCAAGTCATTACTCGCTGTTGCCTAGTTTACAAATGGACTCCTTGAGACAAGAGGTCATGGGCACACCTGGACCAGAAACTGCTTTGTACCATGTGAGTAAAAATAACACTAACAAAATTTGATGCTCTTTGTTCATGATGAGAGACTGTCTTGTTTTTATAGAGGTGTTGAAACTTTTTTTGGACTGCTGCTGTTGCACCAATTCCTATTGTTCAGACAATAACTAGATCACAAAGAAATATTTTAGAATTCTTTTATTTTGCTGTTAGAAATGTGGATTGGACACCAGTTTTTTGTCTCATTTAACTTAGAAGATGTCATGTTTGAAATGGAGTGTGGTATCTTTGCTTTCACTTACTTACTACTGATTAAAAGAGAAGCAGCAGCAGTTTCCAGACTGACTAGAAACCTTTCAAATACCTATGTCACTGCAATATGCTAAGTCTTTCCATAGAATCATAGAATCCCTTAGGTTGGAAAAGACCTTTAAGATTATCGAGTCCAACCATTAACCCTACTCTACCAAGTCCAGCACTAAGCCATATTCCCTAGTGCCACATCTAAATGACTTTTAACCACATCCAGGGATGGTGACTCAACCACCTTCCTGGGCAGCCTGTTCCAATGTCTGACAACCCTTTCAGTGAAAAAGTTCTTCCTCATGTCTAATCTAAACTTCCCCTGGTGCAGCTTGAGGCCATTTCCTCTTGTTCTATCACCAGTTACTTGTGAGAAAAGACCAGTGCCTACCTCTTTACAGTGTCCTCTCAGGTACTTGTAGAGGGTGATGAGGTCTCCCCTCAGCCTCATTTTCTTCAGACTAAATGTCCTCAGTTCTCTCAGCTGCTTCTCATAAGATTAGTTCTCATGGCCCTTCAGCTTTTCAGGCAACCCTTTTACTTCAGGTACTTGAAAGGCCTGATAAGGGCAGAAAAACGTCTTGGAGGCATTTGTTTTTCCTTTGAGGTGAGGAGAATCGTAGTGTGTGAAACTGATTTTAACATATAGCCCTCAATAACTCAAGTAAATGTGAAGGAAGGGATTCTGCTGAATATGCTGTAAAAGGAAAATGGCAGTAACTTGCCAGTTTTTAGATATCTCAGGAAAACTGAGTTATAAAATGACAAGATATTTTAGGTAGAATATCATTTTCAGGCCATAAAATTATTTACATTTTAGATCTCAGTAACAGATGTCATTGTAGAGAAATGTGCAAACAGTAACTGTACAGTAAACAATATAAATAATTGAAATTATCTTTGTACATTAACAAAGAATATGTAATTTAGATTGCCAGTGTCTAAAGGAGATGGTAGTGGGGACTTGTCAGGAAGTCTGCTGTGAAAAACTAGCAGGTGGAGCTTCACTAAACGTGTGAGAGACAAGTAACTTGGTTTCCTGTTATAAACATCACTATAGATTATTACATTATAATTGATGTAGATTAACTTAAACTAATGGAGCCTTTACATCCATTTACATTATCTGAGTGCTTGGTCCACTGGCTTCTGAAACTCCTTAGTGTGCTTCAGTGTATAGGTGAGTCTGATAAATTGCCAAGAAAATGTAATTTAGTATTAAAAGTAAGTGCTTGTGGTGCATTTAAAGTAAATCAGGTCCCCACTTGCAAAAACTGCTAATCCATTTCTTTCTTATTGTAGTAATTTAGGTATAATGATACATATTTTTTCTTACATTGTTATTTCCAACTTTAATTTTACATTTTTCTTGTAAGTTGGAAATCTGACAGTGGGATTTATTTAATGATTTTTTGATATGTCTGAACTATTAACACCACTAACTCCACCACTGCCTGCTAATCCTTTTGTGCATCATTACCATTAAAGGATGTCTCTTTCTATCATGCCATCAAATCTTCAGCATCTTTTTGGAAGTTTAGTGGGAGCTTATTTATAAAAATAAACAAAGGTTATTTATTCTTCAGAATACAAATCAGTTTTGATCAGCTAACTGGCTTTGAAGCAAAATGCATTGAACAAAACAGAAAGAGGAAGCTTAGGCTATTAATTTGTTCATGGGGAAATGGGAAGGAGCCCTTCACAAAGCACTGACAGCTCTGCAGCTGATTATTGCTGGTCCTACCACTGGAAGCCACCTGGCTTTGGAAAAGCCAGGCCCTTTGTGAGGTGATGGCACCCAAGCCAAGTCTTTTGAAACCCTAATCTGATTTGCAGATAGGGCTGTATAGCAGAGCCAGAGGTTTTGTAATAAATCAGACTGAACTTCTTTTAAAAATCTTAAATAAGCAGTGCAGTGACCAGATAAAGAAGAGGGGAATACAGATAAAACACGAGCTCCTATCTGACTGTAATACAATTTTGTTAAATCATACATAACAAATAGGTCAATGAAACATACTTAATGCTCAAATTGCATCTTAAAGATGGCTAAAAGGTGCCTGTCCTATAAGAAAATACATTTTTACAAACATCAGCTGCCTAGTATTCATGAAGACTTTGCATGGTCTGTAAATGGGAGCCTCTAGATGAGCTTGAGTTCAGTGCAGAAAAATGATAGAAACTCAAAAACGTGCACTAATAGTGAAAGAGACTGGAATTTTTTATTTGGGTTTTTGTTTGGCTTTGTTTTGGGGTTTTTTTGGTTTTTTAAGAAGTTGATGTTTTCATCGTACTAGAATATCAGATGAAGAGAGAATATTGTGACTCTGTGCTGCATACCCCAAGCCAGTGGATTTTCCTGCAGGGCAGCTCCTACCAGGTTGCTGTAGTTGTATTTATACCTTTGGTGCCTCCATTGTTTGTATTAGGTCCCCATATTGGAGAATATTCCACCAGGCCTGTTAAGTATTTCCAGTCCCTGGTTGCTCTTGTTAAAAGCTTTTACTTGTCAGCCTGTGTTTCCCTGGCTTCTGTGTCCAAATTTAATTATACATGTGCCTTTATCCTCTAGGTTTAAAGATCTTTTGTTACCTAATCTTATCTCCCAATATAGGAATTTTCAGGTTATAATCAAATCACTGGGAAGCCTTCTAAATAGAATGAGCAACCTGGGTTTATCATCAGTGTGTGTTTTCATAGCCTTTCATCATTCTCATAATTATTTCAACTCCTCTAATTTAATCCTAAAGTATCTTAAGTATCACAAACATCCCTCCTAAAGTATGTATTCCAGAACATGGCATAAATTTCCAGGAGCTGGGTAGAAAGGTAATATAATATTTCTATTCCTGTTTACTACCTCTTTATTTAAATATTTAAAGGTCTGTTTACCCATTTTAACCATATACTTACAGTGGGGCTATGTTGATTACATGGTTTTAATTTTATTATTTTTTTTTGTAATGACACTGTGATGAGCACTGGAACAAGCTTCCCAGGGAAGTGGTCACATCACCAAGCCTGCCTGAGTTCAAGAAGCATTTGGGTGATGCTCTCAGGCATGTGGTGTGATTCTAGGGGTGCTCTACATAGGGACACAGGGACAGGTGTTGGACACGATGATCCTGATGGGTCCCTTCCAACTCAGCATATTCTATGACTTTTCCAAATCACTGATCTGCAAAACTGGTATTCTAATAATATATATCTTGCATTGTTTGTTCTTACACATTGTGTGTTGTTGGCCATGTTGAAACGTATGACTTCTTGTATATACTTGCAGAATAATCTATGTCTCTGAAACAACCCTAAGTATGAAATACTATAGAGTAAGAGATCTGGGGTTTCACATTGGGCTCCCATGATTCCCAAGTCCAAAAGATGGGGTATTGAAGCTCCAGGAATCCAAGGTCTGTTGTGGAATGGAACTACCAAACCCTTTGTTTTGGAATTATCTTTTTAATATGCATATGACACAAAATTAACACCCCACCCCCCCAACACACACATTTAATTTATTTAATTTTTTATTTTCTTTTTCCTTTTTATTTCTGAATTCCCTGGACTAGAAATCATGCTGCTCATTCAGCATTCAGGTCTCATGTCATTCACAGGCCTTTGATTTTATTACTTCATTCAATGATGTTTTAATTCTTTTTTGAGTCCATTGATATAAATGTTACATAATTTTGGACTAAGAATGCATCCCACTACTTAATGATGAATTCTGCTTACAATTCCAGGCCTCTTTCCTTTTGAATTTTGCACCCATTGATGTGTGCAGGCTGATGACATTTTAGTGTGAAGGTTTTCTGCAGAAAAGCAGCTTTTACTGTTATGCTGACTTCAATTCCTTCCTTCTGTGGTCCATAGAAAAGAAAAATCTTTGATCAAAAAAATACACTGATGAGTTATATCACCACAACAGAAATAGTATGGTTTTGTCCTGTAAACAAAGGGGATGGTGCTGAAAAAATTACTATGGTAATTCAGAAGTGCGTGGTTGTTGTTTATTTGCTAAAAAGCATTTTGAAAAATGCCAGCAGATTCTTCATTTTGAAGCGATCACAATAATGTGGCATTCTAGCATTTTCCTGACCATCAGGACACTGCATTTGCATAAACATTGTTTTTAACAATATTGTTTATATCAATGGCCTACCATTGCAATCAAAAATGGTAGGGTCAAGGGAGCATTTCAGTTATGGCCTTTAAAAGGCCTTTACTTGTGTCTACTGAACATCATCGGTGTGATAGCTGATATAATAGCAAAAGAAAAACTAATTTGTGTTATGTCTGTGAAGTAATAATCTCTTGTATCCCCTTACAGTATTTTTTAATACTCATTTACAAAGTCTCTTCACCACTTGCTTTGCTTTGTTTCCTGTTTCAGAAAGTATTTCCAGCATATGTTGATTTCTAGCCAAGTCTGTTTTTTCATTCAATTTTTCTTCTTTGGCATTGCAGAGGAAATACAGAGACAGAGTATTAATGTTTCTATTAAGCCAATGCAAACTGTTTGAGCTGTTACTAAGCTAGTGTGCAAGCAGGTGTTGAACGTGATCTATTGCTGTAGATATAAAATGGTACAGTTAAAATTGTCTTGGACCTTTGGGGCACAAGAGATGAAAGCTCTGACACATGATTATAGTTTTTAAGCTCATTATGTTGTTCTGTGTGGGAATTTCTTTGGTACGTTATGCTTTGTTTTCATTGCAGGAAAGTAATATGGT